TTACTAATTCAAACAAAACTTAAAAAAAAACAGGAAGGAGACTTCGCTCAATGATTAGAACTAAAATTTCTAATTTTAGAGATTTTAATGCAAACAATGTATTGAACTTTTTTGATTATAATTTCTGGAAATTCGAATTTGTAAGAGTTTTATTTTGTGAGCCTCTACTGTATCAATTTAAAATATATTTTTTTATATTATATGCATTTTCAAAGATTATATTATATGATATCAAATGAAACACTTTAGAAGAAAACGAGATAATTTGCTTTATCCTTCACTACAACCTTAATTGTTTTCTTTTTTTTTGTAGCTTTGCTGACGTTGGAATTTTATTGTTTATAGACTCATTAAAGTTTCAGTACTTTTATTAGTGTAAAACTAGGACAATGGCAAGGATAGCTCTGACGTTTTTCACAAATTTAGTTTCGTAAGCATTTTTTGATATCAATTATGTGAGATGTATCTGCATTTTCAGTTCATTCGACGAACCGTTAGGTTCACTGGTCGAATGTTTTGCATCGCTTTTATTGAAAAATAAATATATTTAACTATTTGAAACTATTATGTTATATGTGTTTTTTTTAAATATATTTGACATACTTTTGGTGTACAAAGTAAATTGATATATTATATTTTTATGTAAGAATTATTTTGTAAGGAATAAGTTTGTTTATATTATTTATATAATTTATTGTAATAATTGATTAAAATTAATATTATTTTTAAGCGAAAAAATGTTTTTTTTAATTCTATTATATTGTTTTCATGTAATTATTCATCTATGAAAATGCTGTTGCGTTTCTACAACACTAGCTGAATACGAGTTCAATTTTATAATTTTATTGTGAATTTATTGTTATATGAAATCTACTTTTTTTAACAAATGGTTTAATTCTTGTTATCAAAAATTTAGTTTGGCGAATTGTTAGTTACAATTAAAATATAACACTAACACTACTTTCACGTCTGTTATTTTCCATTAAAAAAATTTACTGTCCAAAAACACTATCCAAAAACATTTTTAAATAATTAATTCTTAAACTCTTTAGGAGTCTAACTGTCAACTGATAATTAAATATCATTTAATTACATAATTTTGATTGCGGTAAATGTAAATATTAAGAAGTGAACGTACATTTTTTTTGCTTCCAAAATTGTTGCTTTTGCATATAATGGTGTTTATTTTTTTTTTTAAGGAATAATTGTTAATTTTTTATGTTTGAAATTCATTCTTATTACTTTGGTTAAAAAAAAATCAGAAAACAAAAATTAATTTAAGTAAAAATTAAATAAGAGATGGAAAATTTAAGAAAAATTTTGTGAGTGAACGCAGACTTTTTCTGCTATACGTAAATTTTAATTTATATACCAATAAAATGTTTTCATAAAGACATTTAATAAATTACTTTCATTTAATTAAATTAAAACAAAATATATTTCTACTGAAACCTGTACAAAATTTTTTTTTTAAAAGGTTGTAATTACTACTTTTATTACCGCATCCGACCAACGTTGCATGTTCGGAAGGGTCAAAATATCATAAAAAATTTTTTTTAATTTTTTTTAAATCATTATTATTTGTTCCTAATTTAAATCACTAAAATAAAACAAAAAACAAAAAAATTAAAACATATTCGCTTTCTATCCTTGGCCGTAAATGGGCTAAATAAAAATAAATTTCTTTTTCTATAGAAAAAGTTAGAATTGGAGATTGAAAAGTTCATAGCGCTTAAGCTCTAAGCTTCAAATATAAAGAGATTCAGACCTCAACATAAGTAGTTTTTTTCAATTTTTATTTGTAAAATTTCCTTGAAAAATAATAAATTGATTGCTAAATCAACTCAACCAACAGATGCAGACTATTCGTAGTGTGCAGATGTATATGAGCAATTCCTGTGGGCAATGCATAAACAGTCAAAAACAAAACAAATATACAAAGAAAAAAATTTCGGTTTCGGTAGACATTTATCTGAAATTGCTCATATCTAAAAAAAAAAAAAGAAGTCTTATGACAAATCAATTTGCGTAAATAAAACTTAGTTGTGATTCTCCTAATATGTTCTATTGGATTTAAGTCCGGCGACTGCGACCCCTATACTAATAACGCGGTATTTTTGTCCCTGAACCAGGTCTATGCTATTCGAGAAGAGTGTTTAGGGTCGTTATCCTGCACAAACACTCACTTTAATGGCATTTCTTGCTCGGCATTCTATTATTTAATATATTAACCTAGTGTATTGCGCATATCTTATCTTTTATTCAGAATATTGGACCAACACTTGATGAGAAGAAACAACCCAAAAACATATTGTTGCGACCACCGAGTTTTACTGTTTAAATTATGTACTTTGAATCGTGCGCACAATTTTTAAGAAGTCTTACATGTAGTTTCCAATTAGATCCAAATAAATTAACTTTGGTATCATCGAATCAATGCAGTGGGCATATAATATTGCATATATTTTAAGAAAATAAAATATAATCCTCGAAGTGGTACAAACCTTCTCGTTTCTATTATTTTTTCCACCACTGTACATGAACATATTAATACGAAATTTTATATAAGAAAAAGGACTCGTAACTGAGGTTGGAAGAAGTGAATTGTAAGGCAATTGTCAACAAATGCAATTTTTAAACGGCAAAGCATGATGAAATTGTGAGTAACTTCAAAATGAAATTACTCATTTTACATTACTCAAAAATACACCATTAACAACATTCCAAATGCTAAACTGAAAGAACATATTGTTTATCTTTGGTAAAATTATACATCTGTGGTTAATAAAGCAAAATGGAACGCGATGAAAATGGCACACAAAAATGTGTGTGTTCCAATGCGCAAACGTTAAATGTAAGAACGAATATTCTTAGCGGAATAAAATAAAATCTCTCTAATGTCAAATTTGCAAAGGATTTATAATTGCATAAATTTTAAATTATAAACGAAAAATGTGTGTATATATGAATTATGTTTTTAGAAATGTTTTACTCTAAAACGTATCTAGTCAAACTTAAAGATGAAAGGTACAGTTTTTAAATATATTAAAATTTTATTTATACTTATTATATTGGTTTATTATATTGGTCAATGATAAGAATTTTATATGAATAAAACTTCTTATATAATAACAATAAAAAAAATAAAAAATACTTAATTAAAAAATTAAGGAACTAATTTATAGTAGATAAGAAGTTGAAATCATTTTTCTTTTTGCTTATATTTCTGTTGTTTAACAGTCTTTTCAAACAGACGTGTTCAACCGGTTTAACTCCGTGGAGCAAGTTTAAATGCTTAAACCTGTTGTTAAACATGTTTCAGCTTAAACAACACTGTTATTGTAAATATAATCATAAACACGTCCGAAAACTTGTTTAATCCTAAACTGCACAGGGTTGCTATGAGTAAATTAAACGCTTAGAAAATACTAAAATGCCAGCTATTGAACATACCCAATAAAGGATAACATTTTGACAAACCCGATATATGTTTATTTGAATTTGAATTTGCAAAGTGTTAAAAAAAAGAATAATAAAAATTTCTCATTAAAATGAACGAAGAAATAGTAAAAGTCTTTCATCAATACTAGTTAATGTAAGAGCTATAACTATTATTTTTTATATTTTAATAAAGTATTAAACACTGTTCATATTTTGAAGATAATAGTTACAGAATTTTATATCTATGTTATACGTTTTTATTGGAAAAGAAACCCAACGGAGCGAAGGTAAATAAGTGGTCAATAATACTATTTTCTGTAGTCATGATTTCCACTAAAAAAATTTGATAAGCAAGTATAGCGGTCGCGAATACATATTTTATTCCAATTTATAACTAGACTAACAGTTCCAGCTAATTAACTCTTATTTGAAGCGAATATATGGGTTGTTTAACTTTTCGTTAACGTTGCATTTGATATGCGAACATATACCTATATAGGGATTGCTTCGTCAAAATATACAGTTGTCTATCGAAAATCGTTATATTGGATGACTACTATATTATTATCTTCATATTTTTATTATATTTGGAATGAACTGTTTTCTACCTTAGTTATCATTTTGTTTTGATTTTGTATTCAACAAACTGATTGATACAATCAGTAGTTTATATGTGGTTGAAATCTTCAAACACTCTTAAAATTTAAAATCCAAGAACTTCAATTAACATTAAGGTATTAACCTAGCCGCATAACAATAATTTTAAAACTGAGAACTAGTAGGAGAGCACAGTTAATAATAAGTGCCCATGTATTAATCAGGAATGCTGTTTCTTGTGTTTGACATTCTCAAAATCTGTCATATTAACATAGACACAATAACTTTTATTTGTCTAAATTTAAGGTAATGTTGACAGTACATAAGTTCAAAATCAACATTACATTACCAACAAAAGGTGTCAACACCTATTTTTAAAAGCCACAGTTTACTTTGTACACCTCATACATTTTTTTTTGAAGTGTTTTTAAAATTGTGACTTAATCAAAACGATATTATTTTGACTTTATGATAAAAAATAAACAATAAATATGAAATAAATAATAGTAAAATACTAAACATTTATTATTTAAATAAATTACTAGTATTGTTTAATGGTGTTTTTTATAATGAAAAAATAACAATAGCATATATTTAAAAAAAAATTTATTTACTTTGTGCCAAGAGATTAAAATTTAGTAGAAAATTGAAAAAGTTTTGTTTTTATTAAAAATTGTAGACATTGAGGCGCTAGACAAAAACTTTGTCAACAAAAGTTTGAAACATAAAGTGTATATTATGTGGAATACCATGAGGTGAAAATTGCAGAATTCAGAATTGAAATTCTTTTGAAAATGTTCCTTACCATTCGAACTCCAGTAGAGCTTAGTCAGTCATAACAGACATAACATGTAAACAGAGCATAATTTTAGGCGCCTAAACACGTCATCATTATGAGTGAATACAACAGTTAACCAAATAGAAAAAACGTTCTTTTTCATAAAAGAGAGAAATGAACTCACCTCAAGATAAACATCGCTGTCAGGATTGAAAGTGTCATTAACCCGACGAAACGTGTAGTTCACATGCGGTATCGAGTGCAGAACTCTGACAAGTATACTGGGTTGCTCCATGTTGAAAGCGTTATTAAAGTTGTTGCTGTTGTTAACTGATGTTGCCTTCGTGCCTTAGAGGAGCCCAGATTAAAAAATCCTTGCTAAGTTGTTAGTGCTGCTCTTCGTGTATTGTTGCTGTTATTACTGTAGTTTTTGTTGTCAATACTGCTGTTGTGTTTTGGTTCTTTCTCTTTTTAATGAAAGTAAATTGGAGTATTGGCGTGACTTCTGACGTCACATACACTAAACACACTCGTTCACATATGTGTAAATAAGCCACTGTTTGTATTTCTTTGCAAAACTTGGAATATCGAATACGTTAATACTGAAAAAAAATATCTAAAAACTTATTTGTTCGATAAAACTTTTTTAGATATTTTTTCTTCCAGAAATAAAAATATTGTAACTGCACTGCAATTAATACGATACTCTTTTTTTTCCATAAACAACCAACGTGTTGTAATTAATTTACTTTTATTTAAACTTTACTAATTTATTACAAATTAGATTTTTGATTAATAATTTTTGTTTTCTAAATTGAATTCACACTTTTGTGTTTTTCTCACTCTTACTTTTTGCGTGCTCCCGCTTCACTCCACTACATCTCACTAAAATTTTTTATGGCACTATAATTTTATATAACATAAAATCACAGATCCAAGGAGTAAGGACACACGTCGTCCCCAACGTTCACGTATTTCTGGCCTTTATACTCGTATTCGTCGATATTGTTCTCGTTGCAGCTCGTTTCTGTGCTAAATTTTCACTTTCGTTTTCACACCCAAAAAATTTTTTTTCTTCATCACTAATTTTCGGCACAATCGAAATTGATACGACACACACTTGACAAGTTACAATTTCATTTGTTCATTTCAATATGTTTAAATAAATAATATATTTGTATATCTTTGTAGTAAGCTTCTCATATTGCAAATATATATTTAACACGCGCCAGCTAGTTCCGAACGTTATCCTTTACGTGCAACTTTACATCTGACATCCTTTTTAATATTACCGCTGTCGTTCTGGCTGCAGTCCTGTAGACATGAAACAAATTTCGAAGTGTAGAGTATTCTTTCCCACCACATTACATTCTCACGACTGTTTATTTTTAATGGAACAATAAGGCAATGAGACAGTTTTGGCTGCAGCGGAGTTACGCACAGAAATTTTTGTTTGGTTTTTGTTTTTGTAATTGCTTAAAACGACTTCAAGCGCCAGGTTTAATGGTGAAAACTTGTATTTCTTTCCTATGGGTGCGGTGAGTTCTGAAGTGCTCTTTAGCACTGCCAGCTCCTTTTTTTTTGCGGATTACACTGTAAATAATAAAAAGTCATTATCGTAATAGAATAAGAATTTGAATTATAAACAGCAATTTTGTTTTAAAGAAAATTTTTAAATTTAATATTTGAGTAAAAAGAGCAAATATACGAGAGTAGAGATAACAAATTATACATATAGACATTGCTCTTATCATTTTATTATATATGAATAAAAAAGAAATTTAATATATTAAAATTTGTTATACAGATAAATAAAAAATATATAGAAAATGCTGGCGTTTTCGATTGGTAAATCTGGAGTAACTTTTTTAATCGATATTCACTTTTAGTGCAATATTTATTTTCATTTGGTAAATCTTTATAAAACTCGAAATTAATTTATAAGACACTCCTATATTTTGCCAGAGTAGCAAGATTTCACAGATAAAAAAATGTGATTTGTTTTCACATGTACCCAATTTGTTTGTTTATGTATTTGGATGCCGTTTTTAAAAAATATATAAAATGAAAATAATAGCACATTTGGTTGCAAATGCAGATGAAGATATACTTTTCAACTTGTTACTATTTGTAAAAACGGAACAAAGTAGAGTTGAAGATTTTGTGGTGAATGTCGTGTATAACAGAAAAAGAAGTTAATGTGTTGTGGTGAATGTCGTGTATAACAGAAAAAGAAGTTAAAGTGAATATTTTAAATCAGTTGGTTTATTTACTAACACAACTACAAAAATTTTAGATTACTTTGAAAATGTTCGATTGGGCAACAAACAGATTTGATGGATCTTGAGTAAACTTAAATTGAATCCAGATTTATCAATCTAAAAAGCCATATATATACACTTCATTACACATAGTTCAGGTTAAGTTATACCGGCGAACCCTAGTGGATCCAGTTAGACCTATTAGTCCATTGTGTTACCGTATATGTAGGAAAATTCAGGGTTTAAAACCACTTAGAACTTTTGGCGAAGACTAAAATGCTATTGAGTGTCAGGACTTGATCAAGATCCTCAACAAAGGAGGCTTCTAAAGTATTGAATCGCCGCCGTGCATGAGCTGGGCAAAAACATATAAGATGGGAGGCACTCTCATCGTCTTCCCCATGGCTTCGCCAGGTTTGATTCAAAGGGAGACATAATCCTCTAGCATGGTTCCTTAGTTTAAAGTGACGTGTAAGTAAACCTACCAAAAAACTGTTATCTCTACGGGGTATATCAATGAGAATTTTGGATTTCCTTTTATCGGAACATAACCACATAACTACATATGTCGGTATATGGTTGAATCGTCCCATCTTTTACAGATAAGCCTGCTTTAAAATAAATTGAACTCAAATTATATTCGAAAAGTTGATTTGAATATATAGTTTCGAATATAGTTTCAACATTTTTTACTATTCACAGATGTTTTTTGAAGTAATATGCACAAATAATAAAAACATATCAAAAATAAAAACATAAAAATAAAAAAAATGAAAATAAATAAATATTAACTGCTAAATTTAATTCACGAACCATTTTTAACTATCTTGCGGACTACCGGTTGGGAGGAATCAGTGGATTTCAAGAATTTAAGAAATAACTAAATGTGGGAAATTAAAATTTGTGAAAAATTTTTTTTTTTTTAATGTATTAATGGAATTAATGGGTTTTTTATTTGTTTACAACGATTGCATTATCTGCAACGCTGAATATTTATATTATTATGTAGGAAAATTTGATCGTTACAGTCTTAAATAGCAGAGTGCAATCAGAAAAAATTCAATGTAATAGATTATCTGTAATAGTACATAACATTTATAATGAAGTAATGTGAGTATTAATGGCAGTTCACTCTCTAAAACTAAATGTAAATTTCTTTCGCACTTTCAAGGCAAATGTTAAATATTTATTCTTATAAGATTTTTATTGAGATGCATTAAATCATCGTAACGATTGATTTTAGGTATGAAGCATGTGCTTCAGGAGTCACTCAATTTCGATTAAGATACTTAAATAGGTTTCTTATTTATAATTTTTTTTAAATACCTAAAAACTAATTTTTACAAACATTCCTACTTAATCTTTTTTTACATTGTACGGTTTTTACGCCTACGCTACACTCAATTTTTCTCCAATAATGATAGCACATTGTTTATTATTATATATATTGATAAATAACATAAACTAACCAATTTCTAACACCAACCAGATTAGTTTTCATATATATTGCTTTTTATTCACAAATTATTTTTTTTTTCCCATATTGACTACGAGCCTCTTCCACTTTTTATCCGTTTAAGCAACCGATTACTGTATACTGCCATTAGTATGTATATAAAAATAATAATATTTATTTTTTACATATTTTTGTAACAACATTCCCTCGCCGTAATTGAAATCCAAACGAGTTTCTAAACTTATGAAGTGCAATGGAAAAGCTTTAGTGCCCAACCTAATACCATGTTATAAACTATGTCAGACAAACTACAGATGAAGTCAATACGGTCGCAACTGGAACATACACGTACACACACACACACACATGCATATGTGCATGCCTAATAAATTTTTTTTTTGTATTTTTTTGTTTATATTGTTTATGGTGCGAAAATGTGAATTAAAAAGAAAATAGAACAAAAATACAGGGACATCACATGCAAATACAACAGATAAAAATTGCTGACTCAATGCAATACAATTTATATTGTAAATTTATAATATAATTTAGTTGATACTTTTTACTTGAAAAATGTGTAATTATCAAAAATGAATTTGTAATTTTACATATAAGGAACTAAAGCATATTATTTGACGCAATGATGGAAAATTAGGGAGAATTGTCTGTATATAAATTAATAAAAAGCAGTTGCAGTATTTTTTCTTAAATAAAGTCATTTCAGAAAACATTTTTGATTCAAAATTTTAAAGACGTTTATATATATTGCAGCAGTAACGTTTTGCTTTAAAACAACACCGGAAGCAAACTATAAAAATGATTGATAGTAGTTGTAGGAACGCGTTTCCACTGTTCTTTAAATATGTGATTTTTCATACAAATTACGATAATTTGTTTTTATGAATAGTGCTAGCACTTTAAGTTATCTATTGATTATAATAACAGTATTATTATAAAATAAAACAGTTTGCACAAATTTATTAAACATTTAATTGGTTAATTTTTTAAAAAACGCTATCAATTATCTCGACAAATAAAAAGAAAATAAATAAAACATGTTTACTTACATTGCCTAACATGCAAGACGCTATGCACAAACTGCACAAATGTATTTTTTAATTACTTTTATATTTTACATTTGTTTTTCATAGAAACAAATTGCACACACACTACTCGTGAAAGAAAATCTCACACATCCACCACATTAAACACTGATGGTTCGTTAAATTTAATATTAACATATTATTTCAACATTTTTCATGGGTGTTTTAACAGAATTCTAGAACGTATTCCTTTTTTCATTTATTGACAAAATGTTTACCGACACACCACATTTAACTGGGAGGACTGAAAAGCAACTAATTTTTTTCTGTTTATACGGAACTGCCATTTAAGAATATTTTTTTATTTTCCTTAAAATGCAGGGTTGTGTTTAAAGTCTTTTAAAACAAGTTTTACAATAGTAAAATTCTCTTCAAAGTGTTTTGTTTTCAAATCGAATGTTAAAAATTACATGCCCAAACACTATTAGTATCTGGGAAACTTTTATAGTTGATTATTATAGCTATTAAGAACAGTATTCAGTATTTTTATTAGCTTTAGTGGATTTCAGGTATGTGAATTATTATTTTTCACTCTATTATAAATTAATTACAGTTGCAGTTTCTTCTCTACATTCAAATTTAAATATTTGCACAACTTTCAAAATATTTTCCTGGTTTTATTAAAGTCAACTGTCATTGATACTTATTTTAAAAAAATGTCACTTTTTCGTGATCTCAACTTTATCTTTGGCTTAAAATTTATCTTACGCATAGTTGCATTTGAAATACAACTGCTCAATCAAGAGGTAAGAATTTTTTTAAACATTTCTTGTTTATATATAAAATATATAATTAATATACAAAAATATTAAAATAAGTTTATATATCATATATATATTTCATATCATTATAGAATATCATATATTATTCAACAAAAAATATTTATTTCAGGTTAATAACAGATAGCAACAATTGAGATCTAACAAGTTTGATTTACAAATTTAATTTTAATTAAATTTCCCGAAATGCATACAGCACCGTCGAACTGTGGGAGGAAAATTTTTTTCAATGAATAAGGTGAAAGAGGTTATATGGTAACCGCAGCCGAAGTGCATACGAAAGCGCTCAACTTCACCCAATAGCTTAGGTAAGTGTTCAATAAGTGAAATTTCTATTACATCATTATTTTTTTGTAATTAAAACCACATAATCTTTTACGATTAATATGACGAGTATATGTTTTATTTAATAGTTAATGTTATGTTAACTACTTTTTTTTTATTTTAAAACAGAAAGAATCAGCAATGTATTGTGGTTTTCAACGAGTCCCTCAGAATTTTGGAGAATTTGTCTATTGACAACATCTTCGTATTAATTTCTGATAGTGATCCTCACCGTTACTGTCAACGTCGTCAATATTTTCGTCAACATCTTTGAAGTCAAAAAAGAACACACCTACAAAGAAAAGAAAAAAATTTTATATTATTAAAATTATAAATGCAATAATATAAATTTTTTTATAAATTTTATAATTATATTAAATCTAATTATATGAAAAATATAAGTATATATTTTTTGTTATTTTTATTTTTAATTTATAAGTTATTAGTGTTATTATTATCTATTAGTTAAAATAAAACTTACTGAAAATTTTGACTTAACATCGCCTTCATTCTTTTCTATTGTTATTGTGGTTATTGAAGCCCTCTGTTGTTATTGATGCCCTCTGTTGTCTTCTCTGAACCGACATACGGATTTCCTTCTTATCTAAAATAGCAATTCAGTAAAATTTTATTCTTTATTTAATAATATTTACTGCCCGTACTTACCAGAAGTCCAGCACTTCCTTTGGTTTCTAGTTATTATTGAAGATTTTGTGATTTTAAATAATTTGTAATATTTTGTAAACCAGTGCATGTTCTTCTGTATATGCAGAAACTGCCACTTTCATATTGTGAACAATATCACAAACATTATATATTAAATTATTTAAATTATTTGCGTTTTCCATGCTGATGTATTTTCTTCTAACAATATAACATTTAATATCAGCTGTTTGCAATTAATATGTAAACACAGAAAAGTTCTAAAACTAAAACTTTTTGACACATTAAAGCTCTTTCCCATTCCTTAAGTAACTCATGATAATGTAATAATAATATCATAGCACAATTTTTGTTGTGGCGGGTGTTTCAGGTATTCCAGGATATGGAAACTACATAGATGGCATAATAATTTTAGCACCAATAAGTGAGCAAAGCATTAGAACAAATTTTAGACATATGCAATAGAATGCCATCAAATGCATCAAAGAAAAATGTTTCTTTTTAATAGACGAAATTGAATATGTAGATAGGAGAGTTAGGGCAGATGGTATACTTCCTGATAATTCGGGGTTAGTAACTATGACAGAATTAAAGCTACCTATTAATCTACAGCAGTTAGAAGCGTTTATGGGAAAAGTCACCTTCTATTGCAACTTTATCCCGAACTATTCACAGTTAGTTTCGCCATTTAATCAACTTCGCAGAAAAAACACACCATATAAGTGGGGTCATAAACAGTATCATGTTTTTTTGAACATTGAGCTTAGTTGTTATTGCAACACAATTTGCTCATTTTAATGAAGATATCTTGGTATCGGTGTAGTTCTGTCAAACAATCGGAAGGCTACGAAAGATCTATAGCGTTCGCATTTAAGTTAATACACACCAAGTTAAATATAGTCTAATCGAAATGGGGGACTTGTAATTTTTTTTGCAAATGTATTGTATTGTTTTTACAACAATAATGTTGTTAGTCTTTAAAAATCACTATTATAAATGAAAAATTAATATATTTATTTTTCTTTAAAATATAGTTTCATCATTAAAAAAATTTATTTAACGACAACACAAAAGTCTCAAATTCTTTCATAAGTAAAAAAAATTAAAAATTAAAGTTAAATTGAAAGAAAAAAAAAAATTAGTCAAAAATAAATAAAATTATAATATGATGTAACAAAAAAACTCGAGTGATGAAATTTTCGTATTGTTTTTAATTTATGGCCTATAATTTCGACATTAAATATAGTCCTATAACCGCATATAGCAACGCGGATGCACTATCGAGTTTTTCTTTAAATTCAGATGATGATTTCGTAAGGATGGAAATATTTACTAATTTCCAACCTACATGCAATCAGTCTGGAGTTGTTATCTGAAATAAAAATTGG